CTTTTAACTCTTATTTCATAGTTAAAATACAATGTCAAGAGGATGAAGACATCGAATACAAATTGTATGACCTTCTAAGACCCCCTCAAGATGCAACAGAAGATGTAAGTGGTCCCTGCTATTCTTTATAATTATTAAAATAATTATACAGTARTTATTAAAACACGTAAATGGAATTTAAATGTTCCACTCTTACTGCTTCTGAAATAAAATATAAAATTTTTTTAACTATTACATTATACATACCAGTGAATTACCACTTCAGACCATGATAATACCCTAGAGTATCATTTCTTTTTTTAACAGTTTAACATAAGAAAACACAATAACTAACATGCATACTGTTTCGAAATGCAGTGCACCAAGACAAAACCTTTTTATTTCATCCCTGAAATGTAATTGTGATCAAAGCTATTTTGTGTAACTCACAAAATAGTCCTACAATGAACATCTTGCTATTTTTCATGGCAGATCTGGAAATATCATGAAAACATGATTGATTTCCTTTATTGAAACAAGACTCTGCACAACTAGCTTACTTCACAATTAGCTTACTTCATATATCTATAAGCTACTATCTTCCGCAAGAGCTTGTAAGGTCTTGGATTTTTTCATGTCAGGATTTTTGCTATAAGATCCAAGATTTTTAGTAAGTTCCTGCAAGATCCTTCAGTGTCTTGCAGGGATTTCCATGCAAAAATCTTGAAAAGACCATATCTGATATTGCATAATGATATTTCTTGAAGTGAGTGGTTAAAATATACTGGGTTTTTTTCCAGATTGAAAGCCTGGAGGCAATGTACCAAGACAGCTTCCCCTCTTGCTTCTTTTTAGGTCTTTCAGGTGATATAAATCGTTACCTTTATGAAAGGCCAAAAAAGAGATTTCCCAAAGGAAGCTATCATGCCCTCATACCTCGGCATGAAATGAACAAACTTGATTCTTGGCGAAAAGCTCACCATAAAAAGACAAGGGGGAGATTCCAGTTCTRTCAATGGAATATAACATTCGAAAAGTGGCTTGACAATGAACATGAAAAGAGGGAAGAGCTTTTAGCAAGATGTGACAGACATGGATGGCTGCCATTGGATCTCAAAGAATCTTTTCAATATCAGCGCTGGTACCAGTCAACATGGGAATCACTGAAGTCCAAGTACCAACAATGAATTAAAAGTGCCATTTCAATTTCAAGTACCACTAATCTTCTATTCTTCTATAATTCCTGTAAACAGCTGTCCGGGTACCTTGATCAAACCTAATTATAGCACCTTCTTGAATAAGGATCACCGAGAATCAGGGGAGTAAACCCCTGCACAGAAAATCACCAAGAATCAGGGGAGTAAACCCCTGCACAGAAAATCACCAAGAATCAGGGGAGNAGAATCAGGGGAGTAAACCCCTGCACAGAAAATCACCAAGAATCAGGGGAGTAAACCCCTGCACAGAAAATCACCAAGAATCAGGGGAGAAAATCCCTGTCAGGGCAGAACGCAGTAATTATAATTCCTCATGATTCCAAGTACATCTACTAGAATTATCTGTAATTTTTCAAACATTGCATGTCCTTTCTGTGCACAAACTTCTAATGCTGCCTAGTTCATTCTAGAAGGTCCCAAGCCCTTAACAAAGCAGAGGGGAAGTTTGGTTTATATATTCAACACACATATTACACACACGATATGTATATATATATGTATCTATATATCTATCTACAGCCATTTGCAAAAATTATGGCCGTTACAAATATGAATATAAGTATATCGAAAGTATATCAGACAAGGCGGGATATCTTTCTTGATATTTTTTTCAGAAAGCCCTTGTGATAGACAACTCGAAAAAATATCAGGGAGGATATCCCAAAATTTTTGACATGCTTTTGATATACTTGTATATATATTGGAAGCGGCTATAATTTTTGCAAAAGGCTGTATCTATCTATATATAGAGAGATAGATATATAGATAGATAGATAGATAGATAGATAAATATAGATATATATAGATATAGATATATATAGTAAAGATTGTATTAAAGACGAGACATGTTCACTGTAACTCGGTCGAGCACTGTTTCAACAGTATAGACCACATTACATACTTTGTTAGATATAGATATATATATTATATGTATTGCAAAATGTAAAACATTTGGTATATATATCAAAAGTATACCAAAAATTATGGGATGTCATCCCTGATTTTTTTCAGAAAACCCTGGCGATATAAACTACTTGCAATTTCAATAGCAATTTCTATACTTAATATTTTGTGCATTGTAAACACTAGCAAATTAACCTATCATTGTTGAGCAGTGATTTCCCCACAAACAACTACACAGTATTATTTGGAAATGTTCTTTTATTTTGGCATGGCAGTAATCAATTGAAACAAATTATAATCACATTTATTATGACAAGGTTACATATTTTAATCAGTTTGTAATGCGTGTTGGAGGATCTCCCTATATAATATATAAGTATTAAATTTTTAGAGTTTAAACAATATAACAGTGAAACTTTATTAATACTAAATAGCACCAATTTGTGCAAGCCCATTGTTTTCTATTGTTTAATTAGCACTATTTTGTACTATTTAGTAATTAATGTTTCATGGATTAATAATTGTTTGCACTCTATTGTTTTATTTTAGTATAAATACACGGGTGATTATTGAAAATCTCATTCACTGTTTGGTCAAGAAACTCAAACTATGGCACGATAATTACCTCCAGCGATAATCCAAAATGACGGCCAGCTGCTTTGTTGCTTTGTTTTCTTGTTGAAAGGATTACCTATGTATTCATACTTTGCCGCTTGAAGACTCGCACAAACATTCCCCAATTTCACTTTGCCTTTGGTGAATAATTGTTAAATAATTTTCCTTGACCAGAGTTTTGAATGAAATATTTATAAAGCTAATTTTTGCTTGTGGGACAAAATATAGTAACGGTAACTGCTGGGCAAGAGGGGTCACAAATTCTCCTACTAGTATATATAATGGGGTTCACACACTGATAAAAAATTGGCAACGAATTCTTCATTCCTTTTTCAAGGTCAGGGAATTTTGATTTGGGTCAGTTAATATTTGCAATTTACCCAAATGTCAGTAATAAATTCAGGAAATTTGCTCAAAAAATTGTTGTGAATTAATAATCCTTGAAGTGCAACTTACCAATTCGACAGTACTTTCAGTACTGGTTCTGCATAAAGTATAAATAGTTGTTTGGTAAAATATTTATTGATTTGAGTGATGTTTTTTTAAGTTATGAAGGTTTATACTTCCAATAAGTTAATGGTTGTGAATGTTTCTATGAACCAGTTCAATTTTGTATACACTTGTTTCTATAAAGTTAGTCACCAAAAAACCTAGAAGGCTGAGATCACTGAGGATCATGGGAAGCTTTTAATATCAAACAAGTAAAGCTTTTGATACAATTTGCAGCTTGAGGATGCTCWGAAGAGGTGAGACTGTAACTGGTAAAAGATCTAAAATCCATCRACAGTTATCAAAGCAGTTGAAACATGTAAAATATAACTACCCATAATCCTTGTTGGTCTCAGCTTTGTAGCTTTTCAGGTGACTAACTTTATTGAAATAAGTGTATTTAATAATTAAGCCTAAAAAGACATCACACTTAGAATATTGGAAGTATAAACCTAGCTTCATAAGTTAGAGACGCATCACTCAAATCAAGAAATATTTCGTGTAGAATTAGCAATGAAATATTAGTTTTGGACTAATCAATGACAGCTGGGATCCCAAAATTATGGTTAAATGTTGGCTATTATAAAGGTGACAAATACATCTTATCTGSTAATATAATTTTTTACTTACACCTAATTTAATGCAAGAATATTGACATTAAACTGAAAAAAATTTTTTTTTCAAAACAAACTTTAATTTCACTCTTTTGCATATAGACTGATATTTTTGAGATATTCTTGTTGGTATACACCTAATAATTGAAAAAACATTCAAAAAAAGAAAAAAAAGGTTATATTATCAAATAAGCTAAGACAAACATGGGAAGACAAGTTTGGGAAGACAAACGGTACCAGACAAACAATTATGCTAATTTCATGCGTATTGCAGTTTTCCCTTCCTGTGCAAATTTTATGCATCATGGCTTTGTTATGCTGCTAATCTAGGTCGACCGACTTTGCTCTACTGTGCATTCTCACATGTCTATATGCAAATATAATACACATTTCAGAGTACCCAAAAACCTTTTCGGTCTTAGCTTCGATGATATGGCTTCTCGAACCCGACTATGTCATCAATCTAGGAGGCTTTAGAATCAAAATAAATAAATAAATAATAAAAAATAATATTGTAAATAATATTTAGGAATTTGAAAAAATGAGTTATTGGTGTTTTAGGTAATGTACATCATATAATTAGATAACTGACAATAGGGGTTTATTTCATAGGAGATATTCTGGTTTGCACTTTGTTTAACACATTCAAYCAAGTGTCTATGGCATTGCTATAAATAAATTTTAAGGGTATGACTAAAATGTATAAATACATCGTTAGACATATTTCTGATTGTACAGTTGATTAGACTTAACTTCCGGAGTCCTTGAAAAGTTGGTAGTACCTTCAAAATCTCATCAATAGCTTCTTCTTGGTAGAAAAGAAATTCTGGAATTGGTCCGATCTCCAGGCTCTATCTCAGTATATCCCTGTCCTGAATCTAACTGTGTACATCTGTATATATACACTTATATACATGTTCCATGTATACGTATATACCTGTCACTGATATGTACATATGTATATATATGCATATATGTATATACATATACATCCTATATTATACACATATAACCATATACACAGACACTTTTGTATATGTACTAATTTAAAAACATAGATTCATCAGGTATTAAAAACCCGACAAACACTATGTTTGACACAGGTATTTGGACTCAAGCAAAGGGGGGAGGGGGGGGGAAACGTATGTGAAAAATGATTGAAGAAAAATGATGAGAAAGATATAAATAAATAGCATAAAATAAATAAATATTAAGACAGTGGGTGATTGGAACAGTTGAGTGTATGAGAGGTATATGAGAGTATTATGGATATGTATCGTAGATAGGTAGCAATGGTACAGCAAACGATAAAGTACATCGTACAATGTATATTGAGTTAAGAATAAAATTGTTTCGAGTGAAGGCAACGTTACGAAACATGAGCTCATGCRTCGCGGCGGTGTGGTAGGGAATCAATATRAAACTATGAAAGCTCAGGGATAGTCGTTCGATCTACCAAGTATTTATCGTCAGGGGTTAAGACACAACAAGGTAGAGGTCAGTATTCGACCTACACGTTTCAAAACTTCTAACGCCAGAAGCTTAACCCTACGTGTAACGAGACGACTGGGACACACCACGTTGGCCTGCATGTATGTGTGTTATGTGTAGAAAGGATAAACATAAGTAGTGTGTGTCAGAAATTAAACTAATGTAAGTGGTGAAAGGACGGGCAATATTGTCTATGTGTATATGGTGTATATGTAAGGTCAGCCCGGGACTCACTGTTGACTAGAGTATATATCTACAAGTGTCTATGAGTACATATACAAAAGTGTCTATGTACTGTTTAATAAACGAGCAGRAGTGTTTTATCGGGTATAAAACACGAGGCGCAGCCGAGTGGTTTTAGACCCGATAAACCACGATCTGCGAGATTATTGAACGGCTTAGAAAACTTATGATGTTTGTTCTCATTGTGTACCGATTTTTTTACGAAATAAACCAAGTTTGATAGAGAAAATCCAAGTTAAAGTTTATGCAAATGAAGACGAATCTTTATCAGATATAAAATCACCTTCATGGTCATGATTTCTATTGTGTTTTCTTCATGAATTATTAATGAGTTTTCTAAGTGTATATGGTGTATATGTGTATAATATAGGATGTATATGTATATACATATATATATATATATATATACATATGTACATATCAGTGACAGGTATATATTAAGATGGATAAATACATATACATACGTATACATGGAACATGTATATAGGTGTATATATACAGATGTACACAGTTAGATTCAGGACAGGGATATACTGAGATAGTGCAGATCTCCAAGACTCTGAGTGTCAGAAGTTAAGACCAATAAAGTTAAAACAAAGACATGATGTTATAAGAAGACTGTACATAGACTGATGAAGGGAAGTGAGGAGTTTTACCTAAGTGTGGTCACAGAGAGGAAATTCAAAATGGTTGAGGTTTCTCAGTGCCAGGCCTCTTCCTTGTAGAGACAGCTCAGACAAGCTTGATTGGTCTCTAAAAAAAGTGCTGAGGCTTCCCAAAACATGTGATTCACTTCTGTCCAGGTATTTCAAATTACAAATGGATAATGTGTCTAGAACCTATACAATGAAAGGAAAATGTTAAAATTTAACATACCAATGGCACAGTCAAATAGTTGCTCGTAGTCAGCTTAACCATTAAATTATTGAAAGTTTTAAGGATAGATAATAATTAGACTAATACAAATAAGTAGACCTTATTCAATATTTTTATTGTGTCTATTTGACTATTACGTTGACTAATAATTATTATTATTACTATTACGTTGACTAATAGTTTTTAATTAAATGGTTAATGCCTTCATTCTAATAAAATCAAGATAGATACCAATGGTGTTTTTCATGTTGTAATGAAAATTAGTCAAAAAAAATCTTTAATAGTATTTCATAAATACTACGTTCTGATTGGATGAGCTACAAATAGGCTATAAGTTCCAAGGGAAAAATTAGAAGAACAGCTAGCGAACCCCTCCACCTTGGTGTGAGCTAGTTTATCAAGAAATGGCATGCCTAAGTGTTTTGTTGAATGAACATGAAAAATAACTTCATATCAATCATTACAAAGAAATGTTTAAAAAATTCCGATCCATTTGACCAAAYTGTTGTTTGTTTTGCAAAAACATTTGGCAATGCGAGGCATTTACAGCGCGAACACAATTTTTYGTTTCACTTAATAGGTTGACAAAACTGTCAGTTTTCATGATATATAACAGGACCGAATGCAGCGAATTGTACCCCGAGCTCACTAGCAGTCCGCTCTCTATCGACAGATCTAATAGTAATAGTATTACATTTTCATTGACAAAAGCGATTAACGGTAGATTTTGGTATTTTAGTAATAGTGCATGCGAACCCCACCGGTAACAAGTTTGGCCAAATCAAAATTTGGTCATGACTTTTATTTTTAGTAGTGTTTGGCCGAAAAAATTCGCGGTATAAAAAATGAAAAGGGCCTATTCGCACTAGGCAGATAAAAATTATTCGGCCAAACACTAAAGTCATGAACAAATTTTCATTTGCAGCGTAATTTTTACTTTTTAGCAACCTCCCTAGCTTTTAAATTTATATAAAATTTTATCTGTATAGTTTTAATGAAAACGCCATATATACAAATGAATTTTACTATGGTGGCCAGTTGGGCCAAACGTTTTACGCGTTGTATGTGAGAAAACTTTTATGTCTGTGAGAGCAAAACTTTGAAGAGAGCAAAAACGTTTATGTGAGCAAAAAAAATAGAGGATATTACATGGGCGCGCGGAGATACGAAATTTATCTTCGAGTGTTGAAAAGATCTCTCACRAGTGAGCGCAGCGAACGAGTGAGAGATTTTCAACACGAGAAGATAGATTGCGTATCTCCAAGTGCCCATGTAATATTCTGTTTATTATATAATTATCAATGAAGTATGTTTTGGCTTTTTCAGGCAATTCTTTCCGTGTATTTTTCAATAGCCATCGCAATGGTGTTATTTTCACACGTGAAAATAACATGTTATTTTCACGTGTGAAGATATCAATTTTTCGAAATAGAGAAAAATAGATATTTCATTGGTAATTATATAATAATATATTTTATTTTATTTGAGTCGGTGACGGAATTGGAGTAGAAAAGATCGGCTTTCTTCACATAAGAGTGGAACTTATGTACAGGTATAAAACATCATCATTCATTTGTCCAGCCAATATGCGTGTCTTTTAAATTTATTACTTTATATTGCGTTGTTTCTGCATGGTAGCCGATSGAACGTGATATTACTTAACTCGACAACATCCGCATACGAGGATTTAAACCTTCAATATTTCTATTGATAAGGCACAAATAATCGTAGCCCTGTACGCAAATATTCCGTCAGGAATTAGTTACGCCGTGCCATATAAAAAAGAAGCGAGCTCCGGATCCACAAGCATAAAAAAAACATATAAGTGTTAGGTTTCTAAAAAGTTTTGCGGTTACAGACACAAAAGTGTTAAAAATTAGTGCCAGCGTTCGGGCCACTTTTTAGAATTATGACGGCTCGATTACCAAATAAAGAAAGTAGTAGAAAAGATTTCGATTACCTCTTGACAAATGACGTCTTTCAAACCAGCCAAACCAACATATACAAGATTAGGCTGCTGCCAAATAAACTTTGTGAGACCATCCTTTGTGATGCTTTCACAGTATCCAACATCTATACCCTTCAGTTTCTGTGGCAGCGAACAGAGAACTTCCTCTCGGAGTTGAGTGGAATAGACGTCTAAAACAGACAAGGCTTTCATCTCTTTGATAGCTGAAAAAAGTTTTCCACTTCCACACAACATCTGAGACTCAAGTATTTTATATGCTGTAAATTCCGCCACACTCCTATATGGTTGGGATGGCATTCATTCTTTCTTCTGCGTCACTGAAATCCATGAGCCGAAAGAGGCTCTTAGAGGTAAGTAGAATAGAGTAAAATCTTCTACAAACAAGCGAAATACTGCTGATATCTATTGGATGTAACTCTTCAAATATTAGCAACAAAACATAGTCAGACAAACGATCCATGCCGAATATTATTGTCGATCAGGTTCAACTGGTGATGGTGCGCCTAGGTGCGGCATATGCGCATCTATTTAAAAAAGTGTGAACTGTTATGAGCCTATCCAAAATAGCTTTTGCCGCGAGACAGGAAATTGCTTCTGTTTCAAGTGTCATGTTCTTTGTAAAAYAAAAATGCTAGTATAATTTCCGAGAAATCACATATTTTTTTACATATTTTTATAATTTTTTAGAATGTTCTCTGTAGGTATGATCGAGCAATACAATGTTTATTCCTTTTTTTCGAATTTTTTTTTCATGTTGCTTTGAAACTTTCGATTGCATAATTCAAATTAGTTTATACCATCAGCTGACTACTGTACTTACCCGTTTAAGGGCCGCGGCGCTATTTAAATTTTTATTGTGAATAACGATACTCTGAAGTAGCCATTTCGTCAAATTAAAGAAGCACTTGGATGAAAATCGATGAAAATTCGGAATTGATGCTTTGAAACTTGGTTCAAGTTATTACAAATATGATAACATTTAAAAAAATGTAAAATAAACAGCATCTAAATTGCTGGTAAATGATGTCATTTGCAATTGCTTTTTTTTAGCTTTAAACCGAAATTGTTTCCAGGATAACTGAAAATGTTTTCCAATCTCAGGTTTAACAAAATAATGAGAAATTAAATCTTGAAATATCTCAATTATTCGGACTTTTAAAAAAATGGGACGTTTTCAAAGTATTTCAAAGTTTTTCAATTGCCCCTTGACATAATGATAAATGATGTATAAAAATGTTTCTGATACTCAATTAATTCATAAAGTTATCACACTAATACTAACCTTTGTACTCCATATTTTAGTATTATTTACAAAAGGGAGGGACAACAAATTGTGCCTTACAAAAAAAAAGGGGGGGCTCAGGAAAAAAAACATGGCATATACTCGTGACTGTTGCATCAGTTCCCATCACTATGAATAAAGACTGGTCCCTTTATTGTTGAATTTAATTGAATTCAAAGTATATCCCATTGTTTGATAATCTCATAAAATGGTTTAAAAATGTAGGGTAGGTTGGGTTAGTGATAAGGTTTAGACCATGGATTTCTTAKGCAATTGTTTTCAAATGCATGATGATGTAGGGTGGGCATTTGCATTTTGCTGTTTCAAATGTTTATATATCTCAGGAAAGAAAATTCCATATGCAAAAATCCTATGGGTGAGGGGGCACTTTGGGTGGTGACGGGTAGGGATGCTTGTTGGAAATTTCCAAAATGACCCCTAAAAGATACCTGAGTCTTAAGAAGCTGGGCGGGGCAGCATTTTAACCCCTAAAAGATACCAGCTGAAATTAAACATTTTTTTCTTTTGCATTTTTAATAGTTCCAAAGACAAGCGTTACTAGTAATATAGTTATCAACATAAAAAAATTAAGAACATAGATTATAAAGATACCAGCTTGGATTAAAATGACCCAAAAATATTTAGACACCTTAAAGAATACCAGATCCTCGATTTTTACCCCTAAAAGATCGGCATATCGAATTCACGGAATCAACGGAATCAACGGAATCAACGGAATCAACGGAATCAACGGAATCAACGGAATCAACGGAATCAACGGAATCTCTTTGAAACATATGGAAGTCAAACATCATTAAAATAAAGACAAATCAAATTAAAAGAAAAAGTTAAGAACTTCGTGCTCGGTCGTCCTCTAAGAAAAAAATTATATAAAACAACTCGATTTTGTAAGCACAGGTAGCCCAATTCTTCTTTATGTCTATGGGCTTCTTGTGTTTGAAAATTGGGCTACCTGTGCTTACAAAATGGCGTCCAACTTGTCATAAAACGATGGAAAAATGTGCAATGTTTTGCTGGATCCATGAACAGATTCTTTCAAGGTTAGCTATGATTTGGACTAAAGTTATGTTTTTGACATGTCATTGTTTCCTGGGTAATCATTCTATGTAGATAAATCATAATAATAATAGGGTTTCCGATCGAGTTGTTTTATATAATTTTTTTCTTAGAGGACGACCGAGCACGAAGTTCTTAACTTTTTCTTTT